GGGGATACAAAATAATTCCAAGTATTGGTTCACACCACCAAATCAGTGAATTTGGATGTGTTACAATCACTTCCTTGGGTGCAGGTATATCTAAAGTTTGGTGAGGCAAACCTGAACTACCTGCACATAGTCCCGACTTCAACTTTCTAATTAGTGGACATTAAGAACAAGATTGTCAGTAACGTTAATGTGCACAGACTAATACTTCTGACAATAAAGTGTAGCAGTATCAGAACCCAATGTTTTCTTTTGCATTGTTTTTGTTTGTTTTTTTCTGTACAGGATTCTGTTAAAGAAGATTCAACTTTAGTGAGCTGTTCCTCCAATAATGGGTCACCTATGCAACAGACATCCACTCCAATGAAGTCCAGTCTTCCTAAGTTTGAAACTCCTGAAAAGGTTGTGAAGTTAACCTTTCCAGAATATGTACTCCACACTGACACTGAGCTTGAGCAAGTAAGACACCAATACTTTGAATTATCGAAGAAAGGGGAAGAGCGCAACTGTGAAATGTCAAAGGAGTTGAGATGTCATCTCATCCGAAACACGATGACCAGTATGATTGCAATCTTGAGGGCAAAAGGAGATGCAGAATCACACAGATACCCATCAAAACCTGAAATCACAGCAATGGCTAAAAGGATAGTGCTGTATTACCCCATGCTACAGGACCAAGGACTGAAGAATTCATGGGYAAGTTAAATGTATCCAGTTAATGACCAAAGTTTTTTTTATTTTGCACATTTTTATTGAGGATTTTAAAAAATGTGAATAATGTGTTCTTCAGGTCACTGTGTTTGCACAACTAACCAAAAGATTGCAGAATGTGAGGTCCCCTCAAAAACAATCTCAGAGTGGGAGACAATCAAAGAGGTAAAGCTGCAACTAACGATTAATTTCCTCAATGATAAATATGTCAGTAGCATTCAAGATTAAGAGGTAATTTTCATTACCCCTCAAAAGTCAAAATAACCAACCTTGTCCAAGATTTAATAACAAATTATGTTGGCCAGCATTTGTTGGAATTGATTAATTTACTAGTCCTTGCAGCTCTTCAAAGAGACGCCATCTTGATGAGCCCTATGACACAGATGAAGCCATTTCGAGTGACTCAACAATCATATTGGACCAGTCTACAGATGAGACTAGCACCGACTCRGGCTCTAATGACAAGGAGTTTGGTAAATTTGGTTTTGTATTTATTTTTTCTAGGTTTTATTTTGTTTTGTTTATCTTCCACAATCTGAATATTAACAATGTGATTCATCATGCCAACAGAAAGATGTCTTTGTTATGTGTTTCAGGAAAAACAAGACCTCAAAGTCCCCAGGAAGAAGCTCTCCCTCTGCTGTCCAGTTCTAAGAGTGAGTTTGTCCTACTTTATTTTGGGGGTGTGCATCTTCAGGGCTCTAAAGTGCGACCAATTTGGTCGCAAATGTGACCTGATTTCCTAATAATGCGACTAAAAAAATGTCTGGTCGCACTGGTGCGATCAATCGTTCGAGGGGGAGGGGGAGGGGTCGCCCACTGAAACTAAAGGTTTCCATGTTCCATTAAAAATAATCCAGCAGTATCAACCATAACAGTCGCCCGCCACCAGTCTCCATCTTTCCTAATAACATTGCGCWCTGCTCGCGGGCTCCGCTCCACACCTCCCACGCAGACACGTTTGTTGTTCTATCCTCATGGGGACTTTGCATTGGCTTCCATTCATTTCCCTGTCAATTCTACAGCCAACCATAACCTCCCAGGTACGCTACACATCTGACCCTAACCTCACCATGAAGCAAAAATCTGTGCACGCATAGCGAAAGAACCGTAGGGTTTTATTTATTTATTTATTTTTTAACTCAGATCGGAGTCTGAAAAACATTATTTTTTCTTGTTAGCTTTAGCTGGAGATGAAAACAAGATGTGGACGGTTGMTCGCTCTTAAGTCCATCTTGTTAATTTAACAGTCAGGGTCTGAGCGCTGCAGATCATTTCAACAGGACGAGGAAGCTCACGTGTATGACAGGCCGCTTTTGCACTTAATCGACTTCACCACAGTTACATTACAAATATCTGAAATTGGTTCTTCTGGGTCTCAGGAGGACAAAACTAGACATATTAGATATTTAAGTGAAATAATATGAGATAATAAGATTCAACTAATGCTGAAATTGCAGACTTTTATGTGTTATTATTTTTTTTAAATCTGCACAACCTTTTAATAAATATCAGTAATATTTCTGTTATTAATCATTATTCTCTGTTCATTCTGGTTTATCCAAGGCCAAAGGTCCATAGTTGTCCATCTGAGGGACTGGTGTCTAAAAAAATTTAACCATGAAATGTTTAAGATGTTTATAAAATGTTCAGCTCCTAAACATTTGCACTTAGAATTTTATAGAATAACATTAAGTGCTTTTCAGTAAGTTATATGTCTACAATTCTGGTTCAAATAACGAACTTTATGTTTACTAGATTGTTAACTAAGTATTTTTGAGTTAATGTTGCCTTAATGTACAGTGATTAAAAAAACCTGTAAAACTCTGATGTTAAATGTGATGTGGTTGAAAATTTGGGTGCACCTAACTTTTGTGCTGGTGCGCCTAAGAAAAAATGTGAGGCGCACCAGTGCAACCAGTGCAAAGAGTTAGTCTAGAGCCCTGATCTTTGTAAGGTACTACTTTTGCTCCTTAATGCAACTTCATGTTATATAGCATGATCTTATGTAACCCATCTAATCAAATTGAGAATTAAGTCAAATTTGGTTATATTTACTTAAGCACATTTTCAGATCCATGTTTTTTTAAAGCTCCATTTTGTCACCTGGATTATTCTGATATTGTAAACATTTCCAGAAATGTAG